CTTCCTTTAGGTTTTCACAGAATGCTATGTATCTGTGACTATTTTTTTTTTCTGATAAACCACTGTCCCTGTTTTATATATTGCTATCTTGTGAGAGATGCATTGAAATTTTGTAGATCTATTTTTTTTTTTTTTTACTTCAGCTACTTTCTCAAAATTGCTACAGCAACTTTTGGTTGCTGTATATTGACAGGGGAGGGAGCTCCAGAAATTGATCAATCAATCAAATGTGTAATTACAGTCATAAATTGTAATGTAAATTAAAATCATAGTCATAAACCAAGTCATAAATTGAAATCTCAGTAATGTACAGCAGAAGGGCTCATGTTTAGGGAAAGCATTTCTAAAGTTTACATCAAAATTGTGCATAGGTGTTCTCCTTTCAAACTTCTCCACACATTTTTGAGCAGTGAAGTAGTGGTGATGCTGGGGCTTAACTTGGTCAATGTTGGTTTTTTCCCCCTTCTTGAAGAGGAATAGGAATTATTCAATATTTTTTTATGGGAGGATTTACCAAGATCAGTGAGAGTGGCAACCTTTGTTCAGTGCTTATTAGTTGTTCTTAATGCAAAAATGACAGTAGAACATACTGATAGTTTTACCATCTTTTTTGCTTATTTTCTAATATCCTGCTTGACCTCCCCCTCCCCAATGTCCCAAGAGAAAAATAAGAATTCTTCTATTTTCGTGAGGGTGTAATGAGACGAGAAATTTGTGCTCATCTCTCCAGAAAATACTTGCAGGCATCTTGACTATGAGATATTTTGAGCTCTTTATCTTGGTTTTGAAATATAGTATCGCTGGTCACAGTCTGATAAAGTATGCCTTCTCTTTTCTTATTCAGTGAAGGATAATGATGCCTGCGTGTAGCAGTTCTTGTGGGCATGCACTGAGCAATTTTCCAATAATAGATGCCCTGTGGACATCTGAGTTTCCCAAGAATTGTCAGATTTGCCCACACAAGTAGGACCTCAAAATGCATCAGCATGTACACTTGTACATAGTCTCCCCTTTTCTCTTATGATCTGCATTTGACATCCAAATGATAGAAAATGTTTATCAAAACCCACAAGCCAATTTTCATATATCTAAGAATGCGGAATAGTCCTCTAAAACCAGAAAGACTATCATAAGAGGAATCTTGCTGTACAGGCTGAAGGGGTTCAACAACTTCACCAGCTACATGATTCTTCAGCAACTTTTGGGTGGGAAATACCTAACATAGTCACCTAGCTTTCTTTTTTCTTTCAAAACACAGATACAATATTCTCTCCTCACCGAAAAGCATCAATTTTCTTAATTTCTCTTTTTTTAAAAAAAGCTATGAGGCTATTCATGTGACTCAAAATACTCCTATCGTTGCATGTTTTCTTAATCTGATTTTAAAAGTAGAAACTTATTTTAGATAGCTATCTCAAAAGTTGCTGAAACACCTCTCTTATCCTCTCTTTTTGTAAACCACAAAAATGAAAACAGCTTATAGAGTTATCACTACAAAATGTAGCATCTAGTTACATAGTTGGGTTTTATTTGCAGATAAAGGGGAGACCTAAAAGTGATATGTCACTCTGATGTTAACAAGACAGGTGGGTTTGCTTTCAGACCTACTGTGTTTCCCTCAAAATAAGATCGGGTCTTATATTAATTTTGCCCCAAAAGACATATTAAGGCTTATTTTCTTGTTAGATCTTATTTTCGGGAAAATATGGTACTAAATGTATCTGGCTGATTATTTAAACTGGGGCTTATTTTTGGGGTAGGGCTTATATTATGAGAGTCCTGAAAAATCATACTAGAGCATATTTTCTGGTTGGGTCTTATTTTTGGGGAAACACCTTAGTAAGCGAGGAGACTGACACATATTTGGTTGTTTTGAAGTTTGCAACAAGGCCTTTCAGAGGGAGGGAAGGAGGAAAGGTTGCTTTGAGGAACAGATTATAGAATATGGAGCATTCTATTGACTATATGGCTGTCATTGCATTCACACTAGTAATTTATTTTCTTTACAATGCCTTGAGTGATTCAAAACCTTGTCTCCCAGCCCAATTTATTTAAGCTCTAAGAACCTGATATCAATTTTAATATGTGATAATCCCCCAGATATTAGATCTGTTTTGTTTTTTCACTCATGCGCATGTGAATGACTATTGGAAATAAGTTCTCAAGAGGATGTGACTTCTAAGGAAAAATACATGTGCAGAGTTGTTAGATATTATTATTGTGTAGCAGGGTAGTGTAGTTAAAAGTTGATACTGACTTGATAGCACATAATCACTTAATCAGTGGGGTAGTAACAACATGGAACTATACCACCTATAGGGGCGTGATGGCTTAGCAGTTAAAGACACTGAGCTTGTCAGCTGGAAAGCTGGGTTTGAGATCCAAGTGCTATGCAACTGGGTGAGCTCCTATTCTTGCCCCAGCTCCTGCCCACCTAACAATTCAAAAGCATGCAAATGCAAGTAGATTAATAGGTACCACTTTGATGGGACGGTAACAGAGTTCCATGCGCCTTAGCGTATAGTCATGCTGGCCACATGACCATCTTTAGGCAATGCTGTCTCCCTTAGCTAAGAAATGAAGGTGAACAGTGCCCTCTAGAGTCAGACACCACTGGACAGGTGAAACCTTTACCTTTTCTATACCATATATATTTTTACATTTTTTTTTCATTTGCAATGCAGACTTTTTTAGAGCAGGGATTATTTAAAAAAAATTGGATAAATTCCATTTCCCCCTTTTTTGTTCGTTCAGTTAAAAGCTTTTATACAGTGTGACATGCTATACACAAAAATGAATTAGGAAATCTATTTGTATTGCAATGCCTGATTTGTTCCACTAGGAGGCTCACATTCCCCATGTATCAGTTCTAAATTTAGTTTTTCTTTTGAAGGAAAGCAGCAGTGAAGTAAATTACACTACTATTATTGAGACGATATTGCTTAATATTTGTTGTTGATTTGACAATTGCGTTCACATAGTGTGTACAAAAACTATTCTCCTGAATCCCTGAAAATATGCTAAGGCAAACTGTTTCAAAGAATGCATTTTTAAAATGTACCTTAAAGAATTAAAAGCAGTGGGTGAGTCCATGAGATACAAGTATCTCGCACTGCCAGTTCTCTGCTTTTCTAGACTTCACACTTTTATTAAAAATAAATGTGAGGAGAAAAACTATTGAACGTGTACAGTTGTGCAAGGTTTACTGTTTCTTATTTGCATAAACCACAATCACCTATAGAGTAATAAACAGAAATCTGAGCTAAATTTAATTATTTGTAGCCTATCCTTTTATTTGTTTCCTTTTCTTTTCCTACTTTTTCTAAAATGTCTAATATATAAATATATAGACAGAAAGCTTGACCAAAAAAAAAAATCTAAGCTGGTGATACATATTGTTAGGCTCATCAAGACACTAACTGAATGCCAGATGAGCATTTGTTCAGTAACTGAGAATTAACTATGTTTGTAAAGACTGTAAATGCATCTTCTGTGAGGTTAATATGTCCACTGCTGCTTTGGGATAAAATCCTTAAAATCCTTAGTCATATGAATAGGCTCTTGGTCTGCAATGTACATATAACTAGAGCTAAATATATTTTTTAGTGCTGTTCTTAACAAATTGGGCAATTTATTTGAAGCAGAGCCGTAGACTGAGAGGGGGAATTCCTGATGTTGAAATGCATAGTGTTCAGGCCTGGCTGAGTTATTGTGGCCTCTGAGGTACAAACTTTCACAAAAACCTTTTCCTGGGAGTGAAAATAGAGCAATAGTAATCAATAACCTTTGCTGCAGGTTTGTGAGACCCAAATAAGCTTTCAAAACCTCTGAGGAACAGAACCCTACCTGCTTTCTGTGTGGAGCTCAGAGTAGGAGTAGGAGTAGGAGTAGGAGTAGGAGTAGGAGTAGAATGGAATGGAATGGAATAGAATAGAATAGATAGAATAGAATAGAATAGAATAGAAATAGAATAGAATAGAATAGAATAGAATAGAATAGAATAGAATAGAACATTCTTAATCGGCCAAGGGTGATTGAACACACAAGAATTTTTTCTGTGGTGCACAAGCTCACAATGTATATATAAAAATCAAGTAATAGGTCATAGATCATCAATCATAGTTACAATCATTAATCATAAGTTACAAACAATTGATAAATCATAAGAAACCAATAGAAGAGGATAGTAGGGAAGATGACAAAAGATGAGAAATGAGACAGTGCTGTGGAATTAAGTGTTCAGCAGAGTGATGGCATGGGGGAAAACTATCTTGTTGTCTAGTTGTTTTGGCACGTAATGCTCTATAACCGTGATGGCGATCCTATGCCGTGCGCCTTGCCAGCTGCTCTTTTGGTTTCTGGCGCGTACATGCAGGCTGGATAGCTGGTCTTTGCGCGTGGAGGGCCGGAAACCCGAAGACCAGCTGGCCGGTGCGCATGTGCATCGGATTTCCGGGGGTCCGGCACCCACATGCACGTTCCAGTTTGGGCACTCAGTGCCGAAAAGGTTTGCCATCACTGCTCTATAATGTAGGCAGGTTTTGATATGGATTGACAGTATTGGGCTAGCAAGTCTAGATTGTTGAAGATGACTAAAATAATTCTCTAGGTATCTTCCCAGAAGAGAGTCTGTCAGGGGGTGAACTTGGGTCCAGTCTGCAACTCAAGTTACAACATCATAAACTATACTTGGCTATTTTGCTACAGTACATCACTGTCAAATAAAAAATCTTTTATTGGACAGTAGAGCAGCGGACTGAAACAAAATGTCAAGAAAGGACACGTCACTAATAGGGATGTTCCCACGCTATAGTTACAGATGGTCCGTGATCTTGGATTTTGGTTAGTGATGGATGAAGATGTGTCTCTTTGTCCTGATTTATGTATGATTACATACAGTATACCAGTATATTGGAGGGAAGCGATGTAGCACAATGGAAAACACTGAATTGTTTTTCAAAGCAACTTTAGATTTAGTTTATGCTTGGTTTGCCCTGCAGGTCTTCATTGCTGTGAACTGCCTTAGTACAGATTTCTCCTCACAGAAAGGTGTCAAAGGCCTCCCTCTCAATCTTCAGATTGACACCTACAGCTACAACAACAGAAGCAACAAACCCATCCACAGAGCTTACTGCCAGATTAAAGTCTTCTGTGACAAGGTAAAGCTGCCCAAGTCCTTCTTGAATCTTTTGTTTCTGCCAAACATTTAATATAGCCACTAAGGGGTACCAAGAGATTGAAAGAAAAAAAAAATCAGAATTTGGATACAAAGGTGATTGGCTATCCTTTGGTTCATTGGGGTTGGTGAAAGAGAGGGTTATTCTCTGGTTGTGGGAGATGACCAGTAAAAAGAGATGAGCATCAAAATAACAGAGTACTATGTATGTGCAGGTGGTCCTCAATTTATAACCTTTCATTTAGTGACCATTCGAAGTTACAACGGCATTGAAAAAAGTGACATATGAACATTTTTCACACTTACGACCACTGCAGCATCCCCATGGTTATGTGATCAAAACTCAATGCTTGGCAACTGACTCATATTTATGACAGTTGCAGTTTCCCTGGATCATATGATCAGCTTCTGACAAGCAAAGTGAATGGGGAAGCCAGATTCACTTAACAACTGTGGCAAGAAAGGTCATAAAATGGGGCAAAATTCACTTAACAAATGTCTCACTTAGCAACATAATTTTTGGACTCCGCTGTGGTCATAAGTTGAGGACTACCTGTAAGTATGTATGTATGTATGTATTTATGTATGTATGTAAGTATGTAGGTAGGTATGATGTATATGTTTGTCCCATAGTTCAGCCCTTGAGTGAGTTGAAATGCAATCAGAATTTTTTTTCCAGCATTTGACAGTGCCTGATATGATTAACTGCATTCTACCTTTCATACAGTTGGTAGCCAAAGGCAGATTCCATCAGTTCTCCCCCTCCCTTTTTTTCTCTCTCTCTCTCTCTCTCTTGCTTTATTATTTTGTACAATGAAGAATCCTGAAAAACTCAAAACATTGCACACTATTTTATGACCTTGAATTCTATTTCCAGTAGAAAAATGCATAAACAGAGCTGGACTTTCATTCTTTATACACACAGGATATTTAATAACTTTGAATAACAACCAACATGGATTTTGCTACTCCCTCTTAGATTCCACCTGTTAAATTTTATTTTATAACTGATAGCATTTGGATTATGTTTTTATTTACTTCACAAATCTTGCCTAGAAGATTTGTGCCTTTAAAATTGTGATAATTTTAGTCCGGCTGAACTTTATTAAATAAATTGATTACATGACACAATTCTTGATCCAGGGAAATTCTAAACCCTGGTTATTTTCAGCTTTTAAGAACATAACACTGTACTTCATTAGTCTGCCAACTTTGGCCTACTTGGGTTTTTTCCCAATGACTTTTGGCATTTCCACAACATTTGTTATCAAGTGGTCACTCTGTCCTATAAATTCTGTCTTCATCAACAAAAAAGCTAATGCCAAATTTAAGTGAGACATTGGGGAATAAAGCTTATCTGTTTAATCTGTGTTTAAGACTGCTTTAATCAAGATTGCTTTGAAAGAGACAAGAGCGGGCTAAAAGGAATTTGTAAAGCTCAGTTCAGATTTCAGCTTCTTTTGATCAGCTAGCATGACACAACCTGCCATTTCCTCAGGGGTTTCACGCAATATGTCTGCATTTTTTCCATGCTGTAGTCAATAATAAATCTCAACCTTTATTTATTTTTTTCAATGTTGTAATGTTTTATTATAGCATTTAATATTATTGTATACTTTGCTTTTAATTTAGCTGTCTAAGCCCTGAAAACTTGTTTATAGACAAATTTGAACATGAAATGCTTCTATAGCCAGTTTGGCCTAGTGATTAAGGCATCACCCAGAAAGTGGGAGACTAGAAAGTGAGTTCTAGTCCCACCTTAGCCAGCTGGGTGACCTTGTGCAAGTCACTCTCTTTCAGCCTCCCACACTTCACAGAGTTGTTGTTGTGGGGAAAATAGGAGGAGGAAAGCGTGCTGGATATGTTTGCCACCTTGAGCTATTTCAAAAAAATAAAAAAGGAAGGGTGGTAAATAAATAAATAATAATGGTAGTGACAATAGTAATAGCGAAGCCCTTTTAGAGATTTGTTTTTTTTAAAAAAAACAATCATTTGATCTATTGCTATAGATCAATTGCTTGTGTTCCCTAGAGAAACAAGTTACAACCATGCTTTTCAACATTTTGAAAAACATTTTGTCCCAGCAGTTTCTGATAGGAAGACAAGGTTACTTGTTTCCTTGGTTGGCATCTCTGAGGTGCAATCAAAATAATCCCATCTTACTACCAATTATGTTTTTCTATCCAGTCTCCATAATGTCACACCTTCATCTCATACCCAGCGCATAGCTGAAATAAGTTAAATTGTCTTTAGATCTTCCAGATGTTCTTCTTTCCCCTTGTTATTGTTGTGCATACAATCTGACCCGCTTCATTGCCCTATTGTTAGTGGCATGGTTAATGACCTTTTAGGGGGTAGGATCAGTACAGATCCTATTGGCCACTTTAACCTGGTGTGGAGCATCTCTTCACTCTTGAGATAAAAAAACATTTTGCTGGTCATAAAATTGGCACGTAAATTAACACTGCCTGGAAGTTGTATACAATCTTTTAAAACAGGTTCAAATGTGGTTTACAAGTAAAGATGGTGTTTACCACTACTTCAAAGAATATATTTGTTAGGACAGTGTATGCCATTTATGGCCTTATAAAATATCTTAGTGATCTGTTGATAGGCTTACAGAGTAGATTTTGTAGGTCCTGATTATCTTGGCCCTCATGCCCAAATAGTATGTGTGGTAGTTAAGCTTCACCCATGATTATACAAGTTTGCCTTAAAGTTACTGCAGCATGACTAGCTTATGTAGTGCCTGACTTCAGAGAGATTAAGGAAGCTGAACTCCAAAGGTAGATTTAAAAAAACAACAACTTAAGAACTGGACATTTTCCTTCCTTCCTTCCTTCCTTCCTTCCTTCCTTCCTTCCTTCCTTCCTTCCTTCCTTCCTTCCTTCCTTCCTATAGGGAGCAGAAAGGAAGATCCGGGATGAAGAACGGAAACAGAGCAAAAGAAAAGGCAAATGCAGTGACCCCAGTTCTCAGCTGAATGCCTGTAAGTAGAAAACATATAGAGTGCCCTCTAATGGAGTGGAAATAGTCAAATAAACCTTATTTACTGTGTAAACCAGAAATGAACAAACCTTTTTATTTTTAATATTTTTTCTTTTTTTAGAAAAAGGAAGTTACCTATGTTGACTAGGGATAATTAAGATACTGGTTCCACTGAACTTTGAGTTAAGAGGTGAAAATATTCCATGTGAAAAGGAATAATGTAAACAGTTTTAATATTGTTGGCGTAAGATAGCCAGTGCTACCTAATATATAATAATACAGGCCCATACCTATATCTATATCTATTTATGTCTATAACTATAACAAGGGGGCGCAATGGCTCAGTGGTTAAAGATGCTGAGCTTGTGACAGCCCGGGTTCAAGACCCGAGCCCACACAATAAGATGAGCTCCCATTATTTGCCCCAGCTCCTGCCCACCTAACAGTTCAAAATCAAGTAGATAAATATGATATGAAGGTATCAGCATTCCGTGCTCCTTCGGCATATAGCCATGCTGGCCACATGACTAAGGAAAATGTCTTTGGACAATGCTGGCTCCCTTGGCTAAGAAATGGAGATGAGCACCACGCTCTAGATTCGGACATGACTGGACAGGGAAACTGTTACCTTTATAACTATGCCTTTATTTGTATCTGGCTGAAAATTTATTAGACTGCCAAATCTTACAAGATTCCAATATTCTTGCATGAAAATTCAGGGGAAAAATTATCAAAATCAGATGAGATTTCAATTGAAAATATATAACACCTTATTGCAAAATACAGGCATTTTATGAGATTTATCTTGTAAAGCTTTTGGCCATTGAAGGAAACATATTTTTGCCATATTATAGTATGTGATCTTAAATTATTTATAAAAATAATACGGGCAGGATATAAACAAACAAAAAATAAATATCAGCCTCACTTTATAATCATATTATTAAATTTTTGCATAGTTAAGAAATGGATTCAGAACCAAAATGTAAGGGTTCCATGGGATAAAATAAATTAATTTCTGTTACTGAACTCATAAACTGTATTTTCGCTAAAATATGCTTCTCACAGCAATCACTCAGAATTATTTTTGCAAATTGACTGATGCACACATGTACTAAACATATGGGTGGGTAGAGAGGCAATAATTAATTCTTTTTATTTCCCAGTTGCCTGGAGTGGTTGGGAAGGGAATTTTGATGCTCAGGAATCTGGGGCACCTTTGGGGTTGGACACTGATTGGGTAACACTTTTTTTGCACTTTCTTATTGGTCAGCTGGAGGTGAACACTTAATGGCCCAGAGTGTTCTCTCTTTGCTTTCAGAGTTTATGGTGAGGAGAAAGAAAGATGATAGCAGTACAGCTTTCAAAGGATTGACAAATACAAAAAGTGGTATCAGGAAGAGCATTCTGCATCAGAACATCTTAGCTCCAACTGCAATCTATATTGCTAAATACAGTTTTGTATTTAGTTTAAAACGGAGTCTCCTTCACAATTCAGTGTTTAAAAAAAGAATTTTTCTGAAACCTGCTTAATTTTAAGTCTTGTTTCTTCTCCGCCCTACCAGTTTCTGATGTCAAGGTACCCATGCTTCCCTCCCATAAGCGAACAGACATCACCATCTTCAAGCCATTTATGGATCTTGATACTCAGCCAGTTCTCTTCATACCTGATGTTCATTATTCAAATATTCAGCGTGGAACTCATGTAAGTTTTCTTTCTTGCTAATTTTGTCAAAGGAGGACAGCAATTAAAAAAGGGTGGGCGGGTGAGAGAGCTGAATCTTTGTTACCTAATTGCCTGCAGTTAATTGGTTGTCCTTTTGGCAATTTGAGGGACAGGCAATAATTCCTTGGCCCTTTTAAACATTGGATGGTGATACGGTATCCCTGGAGACAGACTGCTTAGCATTGTCTTGGCGGAGAAGATCATAGGAGAATTAAGCAAAAGCCATATTTTAATAGATAGTGCTGACCACATAATCTGAAAAGCTTCAGGAACCATGAAAAAAGGCTGGACATGCAAGTGGCTTGCAAACCACTCACTTAAGATATATATGTATATTTTTCTTCTATGGAAACCAAAGATAGATCCTGAAGGCAACATTAATAAGGCTAATTCCATTTTGATGCATTCTAACTTCATATAACTTTTTTTTTAAGTATTCTGTCTATACTATTCTTATTTATATCGCAGTGTCAAATATTGTATAGCTGCACTAATTTAATTAGTTAAATCATTTTATTTACTGCAGCTAAAGAAATAATGCACTCTCTCCTGCCAGAGCATCTCAGCAAAACTTTAACTCAAAAGATATTAAACTAGAGCAAACTTGACACTAAAACAAATAGAATTATAAACAGCAATAAACCACGTTAAAAAAAAACCTCACAGAACTCTCAAAGTTGCTGTCCAGAAGATACAAAATAAACTCTTTGAAATTAAATAGTTTCTATTTGTCATGAGTTAGCTGGAAATGAAAAAATATGTTGTACTGTATGGGGAATTAATCTTGCCATCACATAAAAACTGAGGTCCAAGTAAAAAAATAGCTTGTTTCTCTCCTTTCCGTTGTAGAGTTTTCCTGTTGCATCGGATGAAATGGAAGGAGAAGGGTAAGTTTTGTTACTATTTTTTCTCATTCAAGTTCCAATCATACTTACAGAATGCTCTAGCTATTTTTGTTCTGATTTAAGTGACTTTCTAACTGAGCTAGAATATGCAGTATGTTGTAGTATAGGTATTGCATCCGGTGCTGTCTAGAAATATTGAACTATAGTTCTTGTGGTCTTTTTTTGTTATATCAGTTCTGTGATCATTGTAGCCATACTGGTCAGAGATTGTGAGAATTGTACTTCTACCTGAACAGGTTCTCATTGGGCAAGTAGATTATTTTATATCATACAGATGGTCCCCAACTTACAACAGTTCATTTAGTGACCTTCAAAGTTATAACACTGAAAAGTGACTTATGACTGTTTTTCACACTTATGACCATTGCAGCATCCCCATGCTCACTTGATCAAAATTCAGACACTTGGTAACTGACACGTTTATGATGGTTGCAGTGTGCTTAGGTCATGATCACCTTTTGCAAACTTTTGACAAGCAAAGACAATGGGAAAGCCAGATTCATTTAACAGCCGTGTTACTAATTTAACAACTGCAGTGATTCCCTTAACAACTGTGGCAAGAAAGGTTGTAAAATGGGGTAAAATTCACTTAACAACCGTTTCACTTAGCAACAGAAATGTTGAGCTCAATTGTGTAGTAAGTCAAGGATTGTCTGTAGTAAGAAGAAGAAAAAACTATTCTCCATATTTGCTTTTAAATCTTTTTCCAACTATATAGTGTGGTATCAGAGAAGCCAACAAATATTTCTGTTTTGGAAAAGTAATCATTCTTCATGCATCCGTTATACCATTCTCAGATTGATTCTGTATTTCTGTGATCTTGTCTCCTTGTTACCAATGGGTAGTTCAGCCAATTTATTACCAGCTCATCTGCAATGCAGAAGGATTCAGTCAGAAGACAGTTTTCAAATATGGATGAATCACCTTGACATGCGCCTTGCACTTGTTAGTTTAGTCTAAAGCAATAAGCAATGATGCCTTCATGTCTGTATTGACATGGAATTATGCCATGCATAAGAGTGTATACGATTTTCTGTTCAGTGCAACCTTGTGAACAATTTAATGTTTGGACTGGTATATGTGGTGCAGCATGGGGAGAAAATCAGTGGCTCAGTGGAAGAGTACTTGTTTTGCATGAGGTAGTTTCAGGTTAATTTGCCAACATGTCTAGTTAATGGATTTCTTGTTAATAGCTGTTGAGGAACAGGCTATTCTGGTCAATATTCTCTAATTGGATAAATTGACTACAAACCTAAAATCCATATAAGGAAAGTAGGCATATGAAAAAATATATTTTCCTTTTCTGCAATGCCAACATTATATGGCTCTTTTTATTTACTGCCGTTATATCCTGCCTTTTCTTTGAATGCCCAAGGATAAGCTAAGAGATATTGAGTGGCTTAAAGTCATCCAGTGAGTTTGTACGGCTGATGCTGGACTGTAACCTGGTTCTCCACTTTCTAGTTGTTAATTATGAAAGCATACTGACATAATGTGATAGTGTAATTTCAGGACCCTTACAAAAAAATGAAGGCCTTTCTAATTGTTACAGAAGTGTGTTAAACACACTATCTCTTGATTATATTGGTTATTAACATTTTAACTAGGTGCTTAAATGTAACTGCATAACTAGTAGATCTTGCAATTGTATATTCTCAGTTCATTTCTCTTCAGTGACTTGAAATGTTTAGGGACAATCCTCTACCTGGTGATTGCAGTAAAGCCAAAATGTTGTTTGGATTGATTGATTAATTGATAAACTGATTTTCCTTTCAGGTCTACCATGAAGAGAGGGGCTTACATAAATGAAGATGAATTTGCTGCTAGTCCAATTAAGATATCTCGAATAGAAGAACCAAAAAGAGGTAATCCATCCCTCAAGGAATTTTGGTTATTTAATTTATATTTCATCTTTCTGCTTTACAAGTCAGCTTACAATAGGAAAACAAATACAAAATACAAAACACAACCATAAAATTGAGACAAAATCAGTGTAATCATTCAGTTTGTCAAAATAATTGTATTTTTGGCATTTTTTAAAAATTACTGGGAGAGTGTGGGCTAAACGCATCTCCTACCCATAACTGGGGATCAGAGGAGTCCTCTCATGTATTAGATAGCTGAGCTTCTGGCAGTGTGATATTCCTTTAATACTGTAAGCCACCTGGCATCAACCACGTGTGAGCAGCTATATAAATTTGTTTAATAAAGAAATCTTCAAAATCTACTAAATAATTAAGCAGGTTCCTAGTGGGATGAGTGGTCCCTCAGACAGGCCCAAAGATATTCAGGACTGTATTACAATGGACAATACCAAAATCTTAAGTGTAATGCCTTGTTGGCAATTAGCAGCCAATACCAGCAAGGATCATTCAGTACAAACCTTTTGTAATGTCTATGTAATGTCCATGCAATCTCAGCCTGGAGTGGAAATCCCCCAGGAAAAGAGTCTGGGGCTGTATAGTGCTAAGCCAAAGATCACCCCAAATTGTTCGGAGGAGAGACTTTTGTTCAGTGTTATTGTCTCAACACTGTCTCAGCCATTCAAACAGAGCAACAAGCATTCAGAATTGGAAGAGTGTTGGATGAAGCTTTAGATCAATAAGAGATCGGTCCTGTAGACTTATGCTTGGCACCCATAGCCTGCTGCATCATAAATTAACTCAGGCAATAGCTTGGAGAGCTGTCAGCCAGACCTCTACCACTTGCCAGATCCATGCTTTCATTCAAGATTGAATCCTAGGTAGTAGATGTTATACGAGCAACTCATCTGCCAGTAAAAAAAACAGGTCTGAAGACCTACCTTCATTGCTTTCTTGATTATCGTGGTTAGACTGCAACCTGAAAGGAAGGCCTCTTTCCCTTGCAGTTGGCCAGGGTAGCAGTTTCCCGCCATTTTGCCCCCTGCCAGTTATATATAAAAAATATTTCCTCCCAGTCACGTTCCATTCCTCATTTCACCCCCATTTTCTTGACACATCTCCTAACACCAAACCAGTTGATTACTAAATCATCAGTTTTAAAAAAATCATCAAGATAGACCAACCTTTGTCTTGTTAGAACTTTGCTTATGCATGACATTGAATTGGTTGGTCCAGTTGGACTGACACAGCTTCTACAAGAGGCAAGGGGCAAGCTAATTATAGCCACTGGGGCCAAGTCCTGTCTCTGTGAAGTGCTAAGTGTAGTACAATGAATCAAGTCTTCTTTAGAGGGCCTCCAGCTTGCAGGTTTTAAACAAGGATTTCATGGTATTTTTAAAAAATCCACTATCATTGAGAAATTGGTGCTACAAGAGGTATTTTGCCTTATGTTATGGAGAAAAACTTATTTTGCTGCATACAGCTAGTATGCTGTAGTAGTTAATACATTGGTTTAAGAGTCAAGAGAACTAGGTCAAGTCCACTTCAATTACAGAAGTTCATTGGGCTATTTTGTCTGAATCTTTCTCAGTCCTATTCTACCTCATAAGTTTAATGTAGGAAAAAAATAGGAGAAGAGGAATATATGCTCAACCTAGAATTTCCAAATAGTTGTAGAAGATACAGTTAATAAATAAATAAATATATTCAGATTGCCTAGAAACACCCCAAGGCTGGTATTTTTTTCTTCTCCTTTCCTTTCCTGATAAGGAATGAATATGTGGGTACAAGATACATGTGGAGTGGCCGTAATTAAAATTAACCTCTTATGTATACGTGATCATTTGATTAACTACCCAGGAAGGAAGATGAGAAAGAATGGAGCTGGAGTTCCTGTAATGTTTTACAGAAGAGCTTGTAGACCTAGGCACTTGTGAGAAATCAGACCTTGTCTAAATAGTGTGTACTTGGGAGTCAAGTCCAAAGTCCAAAAGCAGCTAAGTCAAGAAATATGTCACATTTTCTCCATGTGACTTTTCAACAGGGCAAATGCTGTCAGTTGGCTTGTTTTTCTATTTTGGTGCAAATCACAAAATGAGTCACTGGTTTCTGTTGAGAATTCAAGAATCTTATCTCTGTATTCTTTTAGACCTCATTTCTCCTCGGAGTTCATTTTTAAGATCCTTTGTGTCAAGGATTTTTTTCTGACTCACTTTGGAGTTTTGAACTCACCCTTGTTGATTGACATGTTGTTAATATAACAGTAGCACATAATCTAAGAGGACTTTGAAATCAGTTGTTCAGGAGAAGTAAATTGAGGACAACCAATATATTATGTTGAACTGTCTGGCTTTAAGTAAGCTTAGTCTCATCTGTTTTTTTCAGGATAAGTTACAAGAATTGTTAGGAAACAAAATTCTGATAGTATTCTAGTTTATCTAGGAACTGGTGTTTACAGAAGGAGAAAACTCCTCAGTATTTCCTGGTAAGGCTAGGAAAGCTTTTTTTATACCTGGCAAAGAATGCCTGTCAGGTTAGACAATATTACATTGGGCTCTATCAGTACTTTTCAATCTTGTTGACTTTTAAGATGTATGGGCTTCAATTCCCAGAATTTCCTAGCTAGCATGCCACCTGGGAAATTCTGGGGAGTTGAAGTCCACACATCTGGAAGTTGCCAAGGTTGAAAAATACTGGACTAGATGGGCCAATGTTTTAATTCAGCATAAAGCAGATTCCTGTACTTAGTCACATGTGCTAATTAACTGTTGTATTTCTTCAGAATGCAACCTAAACTACAGGAGCAGAATTGTAGAGTCCTTTCTATATTAAACCTCTTTAGGCAGTCTACGAGCACATGATACTTGTCCTAATGGAGCAAGAGTACAGATCCTGCCTCTGTCCCCAAAAACTTGATTATATTCTGCAGACACTGTTCCCCCTCTGTTGCTGAATTGCAAGTCTAACCTGACAGAAGGGAAAAAATGTAGACACATGCTAACTGTGCCTAACTGGCTTAATTTAGTGAAACTTCCGATTGTCAGAAGATTCAACTCCATCCCTATATAAGGCATTACTGTTTCTTACACATTTTTTATTTTGAAAATAAGTAGAAGGTTAAGCTTTCCCCCCAAACTTAAAAAATATTTACATCTACATTATTAGTTTAAGATCAGTAATGTATTTTAATCTCTACAGTTTATTCCTTGATAACAAAAAGTCCTTAATTGTCTCTAGAAAATTTTAAAAGGCATGCAATATATTAATAATGGGGGGATGCATAGCAATGAAGCACTGAAGTTTCCTTCATGATCCTCTATGTATTTTTAGTTTATTTTTAAAAAAATGAACTTAAATATAGCAGTGGCTTGACTTCTAAATCCCATCCTCCTTTGCACAACAATTCCCTCCAATATATTTGAGGAACCATTGAACAAACTGAAGGAAGAAAAAAAAAAAGCAAGTACCTGGGTGTTAATTGGCTCATTGTTCAGAACAAATTTGGAAACTTGGCAGAGTAGCTTTTCAAATGTTCTCCTGATACCAGCAGCAGTGGAGGTTAATTTACATGGGGCTAGAGGCCAGACTATGCTATACTGTCCTGAAAGGGTGTGCATATATTCTGCCTTGCATTGTCAAAGCAAAATAAGGCCAGTGCAATATTAAAAGTGCTATTTTTGGTCATCCCAGGCTAAATTACTTGTTTCACGTTTTGTCACCTGCTTTTGGCAAAGAGAGAAAATAGTGTTTATAATTTTTTTTCTTTTATCACCTTTCTTTTAGTGTTGTTGTATGTCCGGAAAGAATCAGAAGAAGTATTTGATGCACTTATGCTTAAAGTTCCATCTCTGAAAGGTCTTATGGAAGCTGTAAGTTGTAAGGATCTTTATTATCATACTGTAAGAAAAAAAATGGAGAAAACTACCTATCTTCTTCTTTGTACTTAATCTAAATAGCTCCTGTATGCTGTCTAAGTGTAGGATTTCAAATGCTTGAATTATTACAAAAAAAATGGATTTAGATTCTTATTCTGTGTTAGCATAGAACATGTACCTTCTAGTTGTTGGAATTCAAGTAACAGTATTATTTCTAGCTGGGACATCCTATGTTGCATAGAAACGTATTATAACTCGCTTGATATAAACTGGAACCTGACCACTAGTATCTTTATGGATGGCCAGGAATGCTGTATGTGACATGGATGTGATTACAAATGGTAATGTACAATGGCTTACACCATCTTTATCTTCCTAAAAAGAATTATGTGAAAGACCTAATTGACCATAACTATAATGGAAGATAGAAGTCAGTATTTATAGGACTTCCTGGTGCTAATCATGGCCTATGGAAAATACGAATTTGTACTTCTGCTCACACTATTTCATGGAAATATAACAATTGTAATGTTATACAATATAACAATATAACATTGGTTGGGTATGCAAGCAGAAACCTAAGAGTTGAACCAAATGGGATGGAATGGAATGTAGATTGAAAACAAAAAAGTGAGATTGAAAACAAAAATGTTTTACAGAAACATTTCAGAACTATGCCTGGTTTCATGGTTAATTTGTCTTTATAAGGGGTTTCAACTGCTATTCTTATGTTATTTTTGTTACTTCAATTTTGGTTGTTTTTATTGTTTTCACTCTCTTTTCATTGTTAGCTGCCCAGGGTCATGTATATGAGATGGGCGGCCTATGAATTATTAAATAAAAAATAACTGATGTTTGAACATTTAGAGAGCGTGTGAGAGGTTCAATTTGCAAATCAAATAAAGAAAGGAAGAATGGAAAGGTTGAGAAACATGAGAAAATCAAACAAATCATGACTGAATGGGAATGATGAGAAAAAGAGGGAAATAAGAAATTTAAAATTCAAAAGATGGCTCATGTGGAACATACAGTAGTAGAAGCAAGGATCGTTTGCAAGGATAGAAAGATATGGACAAGTACAGTAAAGGGTATTAACTCTACTTTGTTATATTTCATTTTCCTTTTCTCACCTCACATCTTATTTTCATTGGTTTACTATTTCATTTTCTCTGTTCTGTACATGGCCTAAAATTGCTTATCTCAAAAGGGAATAGAATGATGGGTATATATTTACAGCACTTAGTTCTGGGTATCTATTTTCATTGGTAGGTAATGGTTATTTATTAACTTGTTAAGCCAAATGCGCGTTTTGAAGGAAATACAAAAACTGCAGAATAATTTTAGATTTTTCTAATTGATATATAAACCAAGCAGGCTAAACCAATTTCTTTCCATCACACTATCTGTGGTAACATAGCATGTGAAGAGGACGCATTTGCAGGGATTAGAAGGAACAAGCAAAGAACTGTTAATACTTTTAACCTGCACTTCCCTCTGAGAGGAGGGCTGGGCACTAGTGTAATTTTCAGAAAACATACAGATTTCTATTCATATTGATCATCCAAGAAGTCACTTTTGTTTGGAGAAAAATTAGTTGTCTGAATTTTCCTTTTCCTTAGAAAATGAATTCTGTTTGGCAAGCAACTCTTTCAACGGCAAGTTTCAGAAATGTAACTCTCTCTCCACACCAAATTTAGCATTCATTATCAAGAAAAAATGCATTGTAAATTGTTCATAATAACACATTTTTAAAGTATAAATTGTATCTCTCTCTCTTTTATCTCTATCCCATGCTGCTAAACTGGATGAAGACATTTTTTGCATAGGTATATGTAAATTCTACTATAAAAAAGAATCATGAAAAACTGAAAATTAAAGAAACAAAATTAATGGCTAAGGTGTTAACATGGGATATACAGTATATAAGAAAAGCTTTAATTGGGCTACTTTCACTGTACCATCAACAGACACATCAACCTACAACCAGCCTACAAACCCCTCAGAATTCAAATCAACCGCACAGCCAACCAGAGACAGCACTGGCCCTCAACCAACCCACGCAAGCCCCAACTCAACCAGCACCTCCCATTGACCCTCACCTGACCTCACCTCCCCATCACAAGACCCTCACTTGACACAACCCACACCTGACCCATCAAAAATCCTCACCTGATGTGTTCTCACCATCACAAGACCTACTGATCACAATCCTTATAAGCAGAAGAACACTGACATTGACATCCTCTAAATTCTGCTAAATATGTTATCTTGCCCGGTAACAAAACATTTGGAAACCAACCCACAAGTTGTGGGAGTTTCTGAGAAATTCAACAGTATACATCAGAGATTAACTCAGTTCAGATATCACACAAAATTGCAGCTAAAGAAATTTGCTTAATTCAACCTGTTCTCTGACTTGGGAAGTCATAATTTGTGATCAGTGAGGAAACCAGAGTCTGGAACTATGATTTATAAACTACCGGCAGACATTGTTAAATGTGGGCTGGCTTGATGCGTGACCTGATAAGGCATAGGTACAACCATTCCTCCAGAGATTTCTGTTCTAATAAGAATGAACTCACAAAGTCAAATTGATCGCCATGACAGTCTGCTGTGCGACTGTCAGCAGACAGTCTCTCTCAGCCCAACCCATCTCAGAGAGTTGTTGTTGTGGGGAAAATTAGGAAATAGGTGTGTTGGATATGTTCGCTGCCTTGTATTATTTGTAAAAATAATAAAGATGAGATACAATACAAATAGAAATAAATAAAAACAGTCAATGAAATCATATACAGTCAATGAAATCATGTATTTTTCAGACTATAAAATGCACTGGTGCATAAGATGCACCAAGATTTCGAAGAGGTAAGCAAGGAAAAAAAAGTTTTTTCCCTCCCCAGCCCACAGGAGCACTCTGCAGGCCTCCCAAAGCCTCTGTGCGCCCTGTTTTTGCGAAAAATGGACCCGTTTTTGATAAAAACGGGACACATGGGGCAGGGCTTCGGGAGGCCAAAAATGATTGTATTCGGTGTATAAAATGCACCAACATTTCCACCCTCTTGTAGGGGGGGGAAAGTGTGTCGTATTTACTCCGAAAAGTACGGTAAGTAAATTTATGTCATGCTCTTTTTTTGCTGTATGTGATGGAAATTTAAATCATGATTTCAGTTGTAATGTATATTTTGTCATAGGCATTAGTAAGTAATTCTGATGTTGTGTATTGTATAAAAGTATTTTCCCTTCTGTGGTTCAAGGATTTAACCTTTTTTATTTGATTTTTATATTTAGATATCTGACAAATATGATGTCCCCTTGGACAAAATAGGAAAAGTCTTCAAGAAATGTAAAAAAGGGTGAGTATATCTAAATTAACACTTCTTAATTGGTGTGCAGTTTTTATCTTTTTCATCTTGCATACAGCCAACCTCTCCCTTCACTCAATCTGTGTCTTCTCCATTTCCCTTGAACCAGAAGGGTGGCGACAGCTTATATCTACTGTCATAATATCCAGAATTATTTGCTCAGCAAACTGGGAGTTTTGTATTTAACGCAGATTGCACATACTGTGAATTGACTTTGTTTTATCAGAAAGTTGCAAAAGATAATCACATGACCCCAGGACACTGCAACTGCCACAATATGAACCAATTGTCAGGCATCTGAATGTTGATCACATGACCATGGGGATGCTGCACCAGTCGTGTGAAAAATGATCATGTCACTTTTTTCAGTGCTGCTGTAAATTTGAACAGTCACTAAATGAATGTTTGTTAAGTGGAGAACTATCTGTAATAATTCTTTAATATTTTTTTCTAAAAATTGCCATGAAGTTTCATAGAAAGCTACATATTCTTGGCTTCTGTATTGACTGCCAATGCCATATTTATTCTCAACTGCAGGCGCTCTTTTCATTTTCAAAATCTGCATTATGTTTGCAAATGCCCTGGAATTCAGTGGAGATAGGATGCTTTAACCTGCAATTGTACCTAAATGAGCAGGGATTTTTCTTAAAATGATTCTGAATGAACAACATGCAAAGCACTCTATAAAATAAACACAAACTGGCATAAAGCCAGTTCAAGAGTGGATTCTCACTTCAGTCAATGTCAATATTTAATAGCAAATAATTTATTTAATAGTCATTTCCCTTCCTCTCCGTCATGGGAAATGGATACCATGTGGACATTTATTAAACTTTTCTATTGGGCATCTGTAAACCTTTCTCAAAGTTACATTTTTAAGAGATCTTTGAGCAGAAGTGAAGTTTCTTTATAGTATGCAAATGACCTTTTTATTTACTGTGAACTAAAACAGGATAGGCTGCACAAGGTAAGAAAAAAGGTTGATACCTATAGAAGTTATGACATTTTCCTTAGTGTTTTCAAGGTTTCTTGCTAATAGACTTGTACTGCTGTGGACTGATTAAATTTCCTCCGTGGCTTGCTTAGAAACTAGTCCATAGTGGCATTTTTTTTCTTACTAAGTGGAAAGCGTGAAGTACAGACTCTTTGCCTAATATAATTTTCTCATTGAGAAGAGTGTGCTACTTTGCTAGGCTAACCAGAATATTCTGCTCTATTAAGTCCAAAGATGCTAACTTTTTCATTACTTTAGTTCTGACAGTTTTTGGTTCCGCTATGATATGTCCTGTTCCTAATACCCGATTTTTTTTCTTAGTATTTTAGTGAATATGGATGATAATATTGTGAAGCATTATTCCAATGAAGACACCTTCCAGTTACAGATAGAAGAAGCTGTTGGATCTTACAAACTCACCCTTACTGAAATCTGAAACCTAATTTGTTGGGCTCCTTGTGGTATCTTTCAGTGAAGGCTCTAAATACAAAACCTCGTTTGTTTTTGTCCTCAGGATTTAAATGTGTTTTTAAGGAAGAAGTCATTTTATTCTTCCAAAGAACCTTTGGAATATCGTTTTGTTTTGTTTTTTTAAAAATAAGCATTATCAATTGATAAATCAGGCCTTTTGGCTGCAACACTGCACTTGAAACAGAAGAACAGACATTGATTTTATTTTTTAAAAAAATGAAATTTGCATAAATAATCAAAGCACAATTAAAATGAACTTGTTATATTATCAACACATTCCCTTATCCATTAAATATGTGTGTAAGTTTCTTTATCAGCTCAGAACTTCCAAACTCCTTTGGTGCTTATAGGAGTTTCAGAAAAGTGTAGGATTGGATTGTTGTGATGTTTACAGCTGCCCAGGACATAAGACTATAATTTTCTGCTACAATTTCTTGTTTCTTGCTTTATGAAGAACTTTAATTGTGTGTAGCCCACTGATGAACTATATCTGTATATAAGTGTGGTGTATTTTGAAGGGTTGTAAATGTGTACATAGATTATATTATATATAATATTCAGGATATACAGTGGTATGATTATATATCTATGTGCATGCATAACATAAAGCATATGACAAAGCCAACTTGAAAAGGTTATATGTATATAAATATATCACTAAGAAAAGCAATCTTGGTGCTAAATTAAATTTTTGTTGAGCATATTCAATCTCTTGTAAGGGAAAATAGGTAAAAGGACATTTTTGCATACTTTATTTAATTTCTTTTTATTATTAGAGTCTGAGATGAGACTTGCTCATGTACCCTATGATTATAACTGAAGAAGCATTAAGCATCAGAACTGGTATTAGTGACTTTGGGATTCAGTTCTCACTGCAATTTCAAACACTATTATTTTCTTTGTTCTAAAATGTAGATGCCTACCATTTTAATACAAGAAACAGAGATTATATTCTCACCATTTTCCATTATAAATCAGAGTACATTTGCAAGGTTTACGGCACAGAATAGATGCCTCCAAAAATAAGCTCTGTAAACTGCTATGGTAGCAAACAATAATCCTGGTTCCATTCAACATGCTACATAAATCATTATGTAGTTTGTTTTGTGCAGGGATTTCCAAGCTGTGCAAACCCCAAAATGGAAGTTTAAGAAGATTGTGATTTAATCAACAAAAGGTCATTAAAAAAAACATAACTTAAAATAATATGTGAGCCAGACAGCATAATGGGATTCTTAATGGAGTCCACCTACACCAGTGCTAGTTACACAGATGTGAATTCAATATATGTTTTGAGGAGAAAGTGATGTAGCCAGTCAGGAGACACACATTACCTACTACAACTAGCCAATAAAACTACTTGTTATTTCTTTTGGTTGCCAAAATTTTATTTGGGCTACATGTTTATTTTGAAATACGCTTTCTCCATACAACCTGCTTGCACACTATATAATACATGTGACCCCCTACTCCAGATTCCTTTTGGTCAGACTCCTACTTTATTTGATATGGTTAGGTTTGTATATTATTTTTATTAATCACTTTGAATGTCTTTTATGGGGCCCAAAAATATTTTGAGCAAATATAAACATTAATAGTAGCAGAGGAAAAAAAAAACATTCACATGAATGAAGCCCATTTCAAAATGCCATTTAAGTGATAAACCTGCATTGTTCGCTGGCTCATGACTTTTCTGTCAGTCTCCCCCAACCTCCCAAGTCCTGACATATTAGCTAAATTACAATCCAATACCTCTATACAGCATGAAGCTGAGAAGGTTAATTTTGCAACAGGCTAGCACAAAGTTTTGCCTGGAATTTTGAACACTTAGGCTCTTTGTTATTTGATTTCTTTATCTATTGTGTGTGGTTCTTATTACCACTATTATTATTATAATTATTATTAGTATTATGTATATTGCATAGCAATAGAATCCTGAGAAATGTTGAATAGATGTATATGTTGAAGCAAACCCAGAGAATCCTTCCTAAAAGAAAAATCTAATAACTTTAATAAACTCTAATAATTGTAAATAGTCATGTATTTACAGATTAAGATTAAATAGATCTTGTTGATGAAAACTAGAAACAGTTTCTGAAAATGCTGTCATTAATAATTCAGAGTTGGAAGATATTATATAGAGAATTTTTGTATCTGTAAACATGCATGACAATTTCTGTCTTTTGTAGAAAATTTAGGTTTTGCTACAGATAAAATTGAGTAAATATAAGATTTTTCTCTATTAAGAATGAATGCACTTGTGGTTATATTTATATGTAATGTATGAATTAAACTGTTGATTTATTTTGTGGGACATGGGGCTTTTAACCATAGCCATATTTGTAGAGTTCAATGGAAGTGATTTTGCCCATGTTTGCCTTTATGTGTCTGTGTAATTGAACATTTGCTGTAAGGCAAGAGCAATTAAATTTTATATGTCCATTTGTAACCATTCAGTTAACTTTGACTGGTATTTGTTATAAGTGGAGGTGGGTGTTTGCTCAAAGCAAGGAAAGGCAACACAATGCCCACAGATATCTAAAACTAAAGTCTTGTTTTCCTTCACTTCTACTTCACAACTTTTTTGAAAATAAAAAAGTTATTCTGGGTAATAATAAAATTATAAAAAAAGACAAAAAGAGATAATGGGGACAGATATTAAATATGTTTAGTGTAATTCTGTTCTATTTCATTTACAAAGAGGCCTCTTTACAATATAGGACAAATTATTATTCTTTTGATTAGAATAAGATGGGAGGGTGATTTTTAAACGAAGGAAAAACTTTATTTTGGTATACTGCCCAAGTAAAGCATCTTTTGGAATGTTTTCTTCTTGTAAAACAGAACTGGTCCTCACTACACAGCATATAATATTTGTAAATTAAACCTCATCTGCATTTTCCTATTTATATCCTGTTTCCCATCATTTGCTAATAGTAAGATTACATTTCCCTTTGTTACTATATACTACAGTACATCTAACATACCATTGAGCTGCAGTGGTGCATTGGTTAGACTGCAGTACTGCAGGCTACTTCTGCTGGCTGCCTTCAATTTGGCAGTTCAAATTTCACCAGGGTCAAGGTTGACTCAGCTTTCCATCCTTCCGAGGTAGGTAAAATGAGGACCCAAGTTGATGGGGGCAATATGCTGACTCTGTATACTGCTTAGAGAGGGCTGTAAAGCACTATGAAGCGGTATATAAGTCTAAGTGCTATTGCTAAGTGTTATTTCATTTAACTTTTCATAATGATATAACTATAATGTTATATAACTAACATGAAAATACACTACATACAACAATCTTGACAGACTTGAACATTGGGTGCTATCTAACAAAATGAAATTCAATGGTGAAAAAAGTAAGATTCTATATTTAGGCAAGAAAAACCAAATGCACAGGTACAGTATAGGTGGTACCTCACTCAATAGTATAACTGTGAGAAGAATCTTGAAGTCCTAGTAGACACTTAAATATGAGTCAGTAGTGTGCTGCAGTTGCCAAAAAAGCCAATGTAGTTCTAGACGGCATTAACAGAGGGATAGAATCAAGGTCATGTGAAGCGTTAATACCATTTTATAATGTCTTGGTAAGGCCACACTTTTTTGGTCGCCATGATGTAAAAAAGATGTTGAGACTCTGGAAAGAATACAGAGAAGAGCAGCAAAGATGATTAGGGGGCTGGAGGCTAAAACATATAAAGAACAGTAGCTGGAATTTGGTATGTCTAGTTTAATGAAAAGAAGGACTAGCAGTGTTCCAATATCAGAAGAAGCCACCTAGAACTAAGAAGAAATTTCCTGACAGAACAATTCATCAATGGAACAACTTGCCTCCAGAAGTCATGAATGCTCCAACACTGGAAGTTTTTAAGAAGAGATTGGACAACCATTTGTCTGAAATGGTATAGGGTTTCCTGCCTGAGCAGGGGGTTGGACTAGAAGACCTCCAAAGTCCCTCCCAGCTCTGTTTTTCTCTCCTCTCCTCTCCTCTCCTCTCCTCTCCTCTCCTCTCCTCTCCTCCCCTTCCATCCTTCCGAGGTCAGTAAAATGAGGACCCAGATTGTTGGGGGCAATACAGTATACTGATTCTGTAAACTGCTTAGAGAGGGCTGTAAAGTACCCTGTTTCCCCCAAAATAAGACATCCCTGATAATAAACTCAATTGGACTTTTGAGCGCATGGCAATAAGGCCAAGCGCTTATTTAAGGGTTCAAAAAAATATAAGTCAGGGTCTTATTTTCAGGGAAACACGGTACTATGAAGCAGTATATAAGTCTAAATGCTATTGCTATTGCTATTGCTATTAAGACACTGGGCTTGATGACCGGAAGGTTGGCAGTTCAAGACCAAGTATCAGGTGACAGAGTTAGCTTCCATTATTTGCTCCAGCTCTTGCTAACCTAGGAGTTCAAAAACATATAAATGCAAATAGACAGATAGCACTTCGGTGGAAAGGTAACAGTGTTCCATGCGCATTCGGCATATATTCATGCCCGCCAAATGGCCATGGAAACATCTTTGGACAATGCTGGCTCTTCAGCTGTGGAGATGAGTGCCATCCCCTAGAGACAGACACAACATTTGCCTTTACAGGAAACTAAGTAGTGTCTGCTCTCTCTCTGTGTGTGTCTCTCCCTCCCTCCCTCTCTCTTTCACAACACACCCCAACACAAATGTCTGGAAGATTTTCTTACCTCTTGCTCTTGGTGTGTGTACACATTTGCTCACAACTAAGAGCTGTGGCAACAAAACTGACGTGAGGGCTCTGTCTCATAAGTGGCTTGCTTGGGCAGTTCGAAAGCATGTAATATACCACATATGGGGCTGGAGGAACAGATTCCAGTGGGGCAAACTAATTTTCAAAGCTACCTCCTTTCCCCTGTTGAAGATGTGACATAACGGAAGTGTTAACAGATTTGCAGATTAAGGTGAGCTCAAAAGTCTGTTTAACTATGAAGTTATGATTTGAGATAAGTAAAAAAAATACATGCTTATTGTCACCCCTTGCCCATCTTCAATGTTCTATTATAACACAGTCAATTAACATCCCCAAGGTACATTAAAAACATGAAAAATAGAATAAGTTTCCATCACACTGCTGTGGCTATGAGCTTAACTTTTTGATGCCATATGACACTAACTGTGACTATAGATATTTTCCTTGGCTGTATAAGACCCTCCTTGATGTCAATGTAAAGACCACCTATATCTTCCTTCCCACACACATTATACATTTAAACAGAAACTGGGCATGTTGCAAAGCCGTAGGATCTAACATTGCTTTTATTTCCAAGATTTCCAAGAAAATAAAAATGATGGGTGTGTACAGGGTTTCTTCCAAAATAAAAAAGGAGACAAAGGTGAGCTGGAGAGGTAGGAGATATGTAAGGGTTTACTGTAATAAAAGTAGCAGAGAGCAATGGCCTCAGTTTACTTTTCTGTTGAATGAGTCTTTTGTGAGTGACCATGCTCAGAGCTTCTAAAATATCTAATATTCCTATTGTACTAAAAGTGTTTCTACTTGTGTTATAGCAATTCATTGCCCTCTAATTACAGGATGAGTTAAATGAGGATAGAAAAACACTAATAATGTAACTGCTCACTGCTTTCCTTTTATAAATGAATGCTTTATACTAAGATGGCCCTGTCAGTTTAGTGTATTGAGTCAAGACACTGCAACAGAATAAGATAGTAAGTGAACAGTACAGTGCTGGTTTAATTCTAAAAAGAAAAGAATTAAAATTGGAATGCCTGCACAGCATATTCTTTAATACTGTCCTTTCCCAAGGCAAGGATATTCTGAAATATTTACTGAATAACCCCCTTTTAAATATTAACATTTTCAGCTTGTAAATGTACCTGTCAGATGTAAATGCCTTATTCTCCAATGTGTAAATAATGTATATATGGAACATCAGAGGTTAACTTATTCTTTGGACTTTAATGTATTCATAACTTACCACTCCCATTCCTAGCTCCACCCCTTGTATATATAAGGAGCCACCCTCACCATTCTCGTCGCTTCTACCTTGAATATTCAGTGAATATAGAATGCCTATCATAATTAAAAAGAAATATATTTAAAGCTTTAACTTCTATTATCTTTATTGAGTCTGATCCTGAAAATATTGCAACAAGCTGGTAGCAGAGGATGGTTAATTGACTCAATAAGTAATTAAAAATGTCCAAGAAAGATAGGCCCAACACCAGGGCCTACAGCAAAGAAATAGAAACTGATCAAGAGATGATCAACGAATCCACCAATGCGATTTCGAGAGAATCCGAAGAATACACCACTGAAGAAGAAGAACTAATGAGTGAAAATAATGACCAGAAAGAAATCGAAATAGAAAATAACGAACTCAGGTCAGAGATATTAAAGATACTAAAAAGCCAAAAGAATGATGAAAGTCTCATCGCGGACCTCCAGGAGATGCTGAAGAACAGCGGAGCAGCGAGAGAGAAAAACGTCATTAAAGAAAAACCCAAAGATCAAAAAATCGTAAGTGAGATGACTACTGAGAAAATAGTTGTTAAAAAGAAAAGATGTGATCCCGCGCGAAATTTTGAATGGCAGCCATCTTGGTTTCAACGAACTTCAAAAGAGAATGGAGCAGAGCCAATCAAAACGCTCAGTTCAAAATTTCTGGCGCGAAAAACACTATCAGACGAAGAAAGTGAGAAAGAAGTCTCAAACTCTTCAGATGATCCAAAATCAGAAAGTGAAGACGATTTAACAAAATCTCAAGTAAAATCAGCAATGAAAACGCTTTTTGCTGCTTTTGGGCCAAGACTGAAAATTACCAAGACATCTACGAAGAAGCAAGAAATCAAACCGGCGACTCAAGACCTGCACGCTCCCATCCTGACTTCGAAAGCGACGACGCCCGAGCCCAGAGAGCCATGCCGATTTCGCCCTACACCACAGACAAAATCGAATACCAACGCACACAAAAAGAAGAAAAGAACCGTCACCACCACCAGAACCCCAAAAACCGAGCCAGAGACCGACTCATCTGAGGAGGAGCGGATCGAGAGAGCTGAAAGGGAGAGAACCTTCCACGACGCCACCAAAGAAGAAATGAACAACGCGCATGTGCGAAACTACGTAGACGACCCAGAAGGACTTGAACTGGCCAGAGAACCGCGCAGACTCATTGCAAGCATCCCAATGCCGTTCTGTAATTTCCTGCACTTGAGAGATCACGGACTGCCCCAGGTTGTAAGTAATGGACAGAATAATGTAGGTAACTTACCCAGTGACTTCCCAAAACTTAGAATTGATGGCATTAATTTACAAGAGTGGTATCAACAGCTTCAGGTTATTTTCATGAAAGAAAATTTACTATTCTTTATAACTAGCCCTCCAAGAAGACCTTGGACTTTAAAAATAGATTGTTTACATCATAGAGCATTTTTCATAATAATATCTAGCGTGTCTCCTGCAAT